CCCAGTTTCAAGCAACAGAAAATAGACTGAGACACCTAACATGTGAATTCTGATAAGATGGTGGCCTCAATGAGACAGAGGCATCTCTTCTGTGTTGGATGTGATGAGGCACTGGGGCCAGATCTCTGACTGAGAGCCACAGTTGATACAGGCTCCATGTGAGGAAGTGTGGAGTCCCGGCTCTGGGTCAGAACCGAAGTGACCAGCACCTGCCTGGATGGTCAGCATTAAGACCAGAGGAGGGGAACAAATAAGGAAAGCACAGAGACAGGGTCAGAAACAAACAGCACACACAGCTCTGCTGGGAGCCTCTCCAGGTGTTGCCTGCTCGCCTGGGTTCCAGGAGGCTGGCAAGGGTGGGAGCATGTTCCATGCCTCCTCTAGCCCCCTGTCACATTATCGTAGTCTTGTAAACTCCCAGAGCATACATCCTTTCCTTTATTCTCTGCTGTATCTCCACGGCCTACACAAAAGTCTGTGAGAGTAGAGGTCAATAAAGACACTACAAGGCTGGGCGCTGTGGCTCACAACGGTAATCTCAGCACTTTGGGGGACCTCGGCAGAAGGACTGTGTGAACACAGGAGTTCCAGACCAGCTTGGGCAAGTTCCAGACTGGCTCAGGGCTTACTGATGGCTTAGAGCCTATGGATGGCGTCCCCATGTTTGCCCCACAACTGCAATACTGAAGTTATTCTTCCATGGGAAGTAATTGGTTTTAAAAACAAAGAAAACCCAGCTGTTCTTTGGAGGAGCCACACCCAGTCCCAGGCCCAGCCCCCATCCTTTGACCCTTCATCCCACCATCCTGTCACCTTGCTAGAGTGTGAGTCTGGAATGGTGGGGCCTGTTAGTTTGCTTCTCAGGAAGCCTCAGACCACTGGACTCCACACTAAAGCTTCTTCCTGATAAAGAAAAATATCAGACAAGTTTAACAGAGTTTATTTGAGCAAAGAACGATTCACCAGTCATGCAACCCTCAGAACAAGAAGAGGTTTCGAGAGCTCACCTCCACAATGTGGCCAGTGAGGGTTTTGGATGGATATGTCGAGAGTAAATCTTTAAAAGATTTATTCTGAGCCAAATATGAGTGACCGCTGCCTGTGACACAGCCTTCGGGTGGTCCTGAGAACGTGTGCCCAAGGTGGACAGGGTACAGCTTGGTTTTATATATTTTAGGGAGGCATGAAACATCAATCAATACATTTAAGAAATACATTGGTTTGGTTCTGAAAGATGGACGGCTCAAAGATGGTGCTTCCAGGCTATAGGTAAATTTAAACATTTTCTGGTCGACAATTGGTTGAGTTTATGTGAAGACCTGAGATCAACAGAAAGGAAATGTTCAGGGTAAGATAAAGGATCGTGGAGACCAAGTTTTATTGTGCAGATGAAGCTCTCAGCAGACTTCAGAGTCAACAGGTTGTAAAATGTTTCTTATTGGACCTAAAAGTGTGCCTGGCTCTTAGTTGATTATCTCCTGGATCTGGAAAGGAAGGAAAATTAAAAAAAAAAAAAAAAATCGGGGCGGGGGAAAGGGGATTCTCTGTACCATTTCAAGATATCGCAGAGAAACATGATTTGGGGTAAATAGTCTTATTTTCTTCCTTGTTATGCCAGGGTCAGATTGGAAAGTAAGTCATGATATTCAGTGTTAAATAAAACCCATCTGATAAGAATTTATGATTTGTAGGGCATGACTCCCCAGACCCCTTAATAGGAATTTGGGGAAGATAAATATATACATATGTAAGTATATATCATTGAAGCAGGAGCAGCCGCGAGAAACAGACCTCTCAGACACCAAACTAGAAAAGGAAGTGGTTTTATTATTACAGCCCAGGAGCAAGTCTTTATGTTTTGTCCAAATGGCCAAGTTCCCCTAACAAAGAGAAGCTCTGCCTTTATATAGGCTTACACTCTAGATATTACACGTGAAAGGATCTTAGGTTTACAGCCTTAGAAATTACAAGCGAAAGGGTCTTGGGTTTACAGCTTTAGAAATTACATGTGAAAGGTTTCTGGTCTCTGGATGGAGGAGTGGGGTAGGGGTTTGATCTTAAGTAAAACCAGTGTCTTCTAGAGAGATACCCCCATACCCATACCAGGTGTGCTATCTTATAGGAAGGTGATTCAGGAGGGGCCAGTCTGCCAGCCTTTTCTTCTATTGAAATGCAGTGTGGAAGTCAAGGGGAAGGTGATCTTAGATGCCTGGATCTCCTTCCTCACCACCCGCTTTGAGACCCCCACCACTTTATAATATTAGTGAGAGGTCTCACTCTCATTCTCATTTTCCAGATCCTCTGAAGAAACTGATTGATAATGATGGTTATAAAACACTTTGCCACTTCCAACAATGTTTGGCCAGCATAATTATATTAGCCCAGGATTCTAACTTCATTCTACTTTCAGTGTGGTGATCTGTCTTCTACTTTGTCCTACTCTATTTTAAAATTTTCGTTATAAACTGGTTGAAATTATTTAAAGAAGGCCAGGGACAGTGGCTCATGCCTGTAATCCCAGCACTTTGGGAGGCTAAGCCCAGCAGATCACTTGAGGTCAAGAGCTCCAGACTAGCCCAGCCAAAATGGTGTATTATAATACACAATAAAAGACGGCTGGGCCGGGCGCGGTGGCTCATGCCTATAATCCCAGCAC